GTGAGAATAGTTAGGTAAGCAAAGTATGTACTCAATAGCAACTGTATTAGCAAAAAGTTAGTTAAAATAGTATAGGATAGAATGTGTTAAATCTCAGCATTGGGATCAAAATTTTGGCACCAGTGTGCACAATTTTTGTTCCAGAATAATAATGCTGTTTTAGATTACAGGGAAGCAGAATTATTAAATATATTACATTAGATATAAAGTTAATGTTTTCTCGTATCTTTGGCATCAAATTTCAGTATTTTTCACATGAAAAACATTTTAAGTAATCAGGTTCCTTGTTTCTGAACTGTTTTGATGAAATTCATTTGCTCATGCAAGCAAAAGTAAAACCATTGAAGGTTTCTTTAGCCTGAGCTGTGTACTTTTATACAGAACCCCCCCGTCAGTGCATTGAAATCTTTACTCTAGTGTACCAGTTCAGTTTTTGCAAGCTTATATAGTGGTGCCTCCACTTACGACCATAATCCATTCCAGAAGATGGACGTAAGTTGAACTGGTTGTAAGTCGAAGCACCATTTCCCATAGGAATGCATTGAAACCCCATTAATCTGTTCCAGCCAAAGAAAATAAATCATTAAAAAAATCACTGCAAGATTAATTGGATTAATCCCTTCCAGACAAGGGGGGGGGGGAGCAGTCAAGCGTGCAAGACCCATCGCAAATGCATAGAAAACAAACAGAGCAGATTGGAAATGCACAGAGGACAGAGGGACAGGGTCAAAAATGCAAAGGAAAAAGCAAGGGAAGCATGCAGGACCTATTGCAAATGCACAGAAAATAAACAGAGCAGATTGGAAATGCACAGAGAACAGAGGGACAATGTCGGAAATACACAGAAAACAAAGGAAAAAGCAAGGGAAGCATGCAGGACCCATCAGAAATGGGGGGAACCCCAAAAAGCAGCTGAACCCCCAAGACCCATCAGAAATAGGGGGAACCCAACAAACAAACCCCTAAGACTCATCACAGCATAGAAACATAACCCCCCAGCCCAAAGCCACGCTGCAAAAACACCCAGAAGTTTTTAAAAAGCAGAAAACAGCACCTTGCCTCCCTGAAAAAACACACACGCTCACTCCAAAGCAGAAAGAGGCAGTCCCAAGCCTCCGACAATGACACACTCTCTAACTGCCGGGGCGAAAGAGCTATAGAGAAGCAGCCTCTTTCCCCACCTACAGTTATCAATTTGAATTTCCTGCCTTTTTTCCTGCCTTTTTCTGTTCGTATGTGGAAGCTCTGGTCGCAAGTAGAAGCAAAATTTTGCGGCCGGAGCTGGTCATAAGTTGAATTGGTCATAAGTAGAGATGTTCGTAAGTGGAGGCACCACTGTATCTAATTTCAAGACACTTGGGTGACAAATCAGCCAAGTTTTATTCTTGTCGCATATGCCACTTTCTTGAAATGTTTCCCTACATCTAACTAGCAAATGTCAGGTAGAATATTTCTGGAGACCTGTTACACTGAAAGCTTTTAAACCAGCACTAATACTTGTGTAACAGGTGCAATCCTGTACATTCATGGTAGCAAAGACAAAAAATCTGTAGATACCAAGAATGGCACAGCAACAGAGTAGCAGTGCACATTCTCTTGCAGTCAGTGGACATCTGTCCACCAATCAGCACATGATGCTAACAGGAACCCCACAATGGCATCATTCTGACCAGTGCTCATACAATTGCAAACAAACATTCCGTTAGAAATGGATGGTGGTCTGTTGCCTGTTAGTCATGTAGAGGTTAGATGGATTGCATATCATTCCCATGAGGTTGCTAGAGAAAAGCTTAATACCCATTTTGCAGCCTGAGATATCACGCAGATAATGTTTATAACATTCCCCTCAATATAAGTACATTGGAATTGGTCAGAAAGGAACAAGCTTTTTGCAAGCAATGGATGGGAGACACATGAACAAACAAAAAAATAAAGATTTGAAGCGACATTATCAAGATTATAAGAACTTGTTTGCAACCTTCATCTTATCCAGCTCCACATACCTAGCTGAGAATGATGAGTGCCTGCATTTGCAGATTATTCTCCCAGAAAAATTAGTTATTCCACTTAACTTCATGCAGGGAAACTGGTGGGTTTGTTAACATGCTAACAGGCATAGATGAGGAACGGTGGCAGAAAAGTCAGGGATATTTGGATGTTGAAACAACTACATTTGGCATAAAGTAGTACCATATACCTCTCTGCTATTAGTTCCATATATTTGTGTGCATGGGTACACAAAGGCTGTGCATTTGGTAGTGATAAGCATTAGAGCCATTTTAGTGTGCCATTTGTTTGATTCTTTTAAATATTTGTATACCTACTGTTTTTAGTTTTTAAATACAGTAATGTATTTTGATTATGTTAGCTGGAGAAAAGAGGGGCAAAATTATTTTAAACAAATAATAAATTCTTAGGCTGTATTAAGTTGACTTTTCTTGACAGTTATGTCCAGGATATATCTTCCATGGGGAAGAGATCTATTCATAGAAGGTGTCTTTGCCTGATTGGAGTTTGTGTGTCTCCATATGCCACAGTTCATCTTGTTCATCAATAGGGCCCCAATACCCTATGTATTCAGGGGGCTGTAAGTGCTATCTGTCCCACTGTTTGCTTATGACTGCTGCCCCACCAAGTGCTAGGACAGCAGGGAAAATCAGACATCAAGACATCCTAGGCTCTGGACTTGAGGAATGGTGCTAACTGGTTTTTATTAACTCTTAGAAGTGGGATGCAACACAAGTAGCAGCAGCCACAGTCCTTCTCATTTCATTTGTGCCCCAGTGAGCTGAATTCTGTGCACTAGCCCCTGGGACAATCCAGCATTTTTAGGTCAGCTAATTATCCAATTATTAATTTTAAAATAGCAATAATTCTGTAACATGAAATGGAATTTGATGGAATAGAAGTACTGTGTACTGTATTCGTATAATAGTTTAGATTTAGCATGCAACATGCTGGCAAAGATGTTTCCAGTCTAGTCAGCTCCTCCTCCATTCATTCCTCTTTGCCACCTTACATGCCATTCCAGAGGATTTCCTCATGCTTCAGGTCTGGTGAAAGAAACAGGAAAGATAAACTGCTCTAATGGAACTCTGCACATGTTTTTGTATGTCCCAATGCCTTATGGATAGAATCTTGATGGAAATTGGCTGCAGTCCACATAGATAGGTGTGGTTGCAATGCAATTCAGGTGTGGCTAACTCTAATAAAATCAGTAGATTTAAGTGCATATGACTGGGCGAGCCAGAGGTAGGCATTCTTTTTGGCAGTATCTCTTTTAGCAGATGGCTTCATTTAAACATCATTGACAAAGAGTTTTCATGGGAAGAGATGTTGAAAAGCGAGTTTCTGAGGAATTTAAAATAGTTGAGTGATAGAGAAGGAATAAGGTAAGATGGAGAGTTTGCCAGCTCTACTTGTTTGGTGTACTTTGACTTGAATGTGATAGAGCTTTCAAGGTGAGCCAGGCTAAATCAAACTGAACTGGAACTTTTTGAATCTGAATCTTTTGAATATTTATAGTAAATTATTGTAGATGAAACTAAGTCTGGCTTCTGTTAACTTGTGGAAGGTAATACAACAACTGGAGTCTGTTACCTGAAATTGGTTATTAAAGTCTTATTTTGTGTTGAGAGTAGACCTACAGTGTTTTGTCTGTTCACTGGGGTGCTCAAACTCTCTGAATTTATGTATTTTGCTTGAATAGGGAATTATGAAGATTTTCCCCTTAATTTTTAAGGAGTTCTGGAAACATTCTTGTTTGTGTGGACGTGAACAATAGAATCTAATTAAGTTTTAGTGGTGAGGAAGTGCAGTTATGGGTGTCTTATTTGAAATTTGTATTTTTTCTTAAATTTTATCTATTCTAATACGAGATAACTGTTCTTTAAAATAGGAATTTAGAACAATGTTGTTCTGCCCATTAACTTGTCCAGTTTAGGCTTGGGTGATTAGCCACAGATACCGCCTACAAAATCTTTGGGAACACTAAAAATTGTGTTGCATATCATGTCTCTAGGGATGCAGAGACTAGCATAGTGGTTCATTGATCTTTAGCCGTGTGCCTATTTAATGATTTAGAGTCATTCCTACCCTGAAGTCTTATTTCCCGTGAACAGTTCTGTTTTTAGGGCACTGAGAGGTGGGGAAAAAATATCCTGGAGTCAATGTGGTTGACTTTTTCCTTTCTTGTTTGCACAGATTTCAAAGGTCTTTTCAAACTTTAATGTGTGTTTTCTCAAGTGATCACTAATTCTCTTCTGTATTTGGAGACCTGAAATTCTGTGATTTTGTACTGTCATTTATACAGTTGAAATCATGTTAATAGGAGTAGGAGCTACTGATGGTAGGCAAAGACCTTTTTATTCAAGCAGGCTTTTGGCAAGTGACTGTCTTTTTAAAATATTCTTCAGTCCCAGTTTTGGGGGAGAGATGGGATAGACAATGAAGGAAGAAATTATTAACACTAATAAGTTTTTGTTTACTTTATCACAATATGTCTTGATGTGTACGTTAAAAATATAATAAAATCAAAATTTTCATAGTTTCTATGGAACTGTGAATTAATATTTAAATATTTTGTGATAGTCCCACCATGAATCTTTCAAATGTTATATATGCTGTGAGACTTCTAACCTCTGTGTACTACTTGAGGAGCAGTCACTAAAATGCAGAGTGATCAGTGATGCAATTTGAGGATCAGTATTGATGATGGAAAAAGTAGTATTGTTCTTACACAAACTCTGTGACTTTTAACTATTAAGAATATTGTGCTTCTTTAGGTAAGATCTTGGAGTAAACTGTACCAAAACTTTGTTACTTTCATACACCACTGGATTTTTTTCCTTCTCAAAGTGCTTTCCATTGTTGATCAGCTGAATTATTTAATTTACAGAATATAATTATTGATCTGATATGTTGAATCAACATTGTTTTAATATGAATGCAGTGAAGCAAGTTTTAACTAATGGCAATTACATATTTACTTGTATTTGCAGGAATCTAGAACAAAGTTAGGACGTGAATATAAGAAAGTGCAGTCAACCAGTACAGATTTCTTCTATCAAAAAGCTTATCTTCAGCCTGCTGCAAATCCTTCATGTCTTCTGTATGCCATGTTATGTGACTGTAGTCCCATGAGGAATTTGTCTTCATGAAGATTCCTAACATTGGTGATGTGATGAATAAATTTGAGATCCTTGGGGTTGTAGGTGAAGGTAAGCAAAAATCCTTGTTTGACTCTAATTGGAAATTCATGAAGGAAGAGCCTGTGATCACAATTCAGAAAGAAGTGCAAGTGAGATGGTTTCTATAGGAGATCATTCTAAATTTCATGATGTGATGATAGATTGAGACAGGGAATAGATTTTCAGAAATCTGATCAAGAATCACTGTGGATTACAATAATTCTGTGATATATTTTGAACCTTCTGAGAAAAGGTTTGTCACTTTTACCACTAGCCTAAGTCTTCAAGACTGTATCCAAACAATGGTTTTAATGTACAGTTGCACAACTGCTTCATGGAGTTTCATAGGAGGGGCCCAGATTGTTTTGTCTTCAAATTGAAAATATCTCATGTTTTTCCTTTGCTGCTTTCATCTTTTTCCATATCACAAAAATCTGTTAAAGAGGAGAAGATGCATGGTGCCTCTGGAAGCATCAGAAATTTTCTGCCCCACTATCTATCTGTAGAAAGGGAAGAATCTATATGGCATCATAAGACTAGTGGTGTGGTGCATAATACAGTGGGGTCTTGACTTGAGAACTTAATCCGTATTGGAAGGCGGTTCTCAAGTCAAAAAGTCTGTAAGTCAAGTCTCCATTGACCTACAGTGCATTGAAAACCGATTAATCCCGTAACAGGCCATTTTTGTTCCATTTTAGTTTTTTTCTGGTCTGTAAGTCAAATCTCAGTCTGCAAGTCAAACCTAAATTTTGCGGCCAGAGAAGTCTGTAACTCAAAAAGTCTGTAAGTCAAGTCGTCTGTAAGTCAAGGGTCCACTGTAGGTGATTTACTACTAGATGGATATATTTATATTTTAAAAAATCAGTTTATCCCCTCTCTCTGGGGTGGCAAGGTTCATTCAATGGGCCATACGCAGCCCCTGGCATTTTAAAAAATGGTAGTTCTCAAAGTCCCACAGTCCACTCTGAGGGGCATGTGGGAGGTTTTGCCACGTTTGTTTGTTTGTTTGTTTGTTTGTTTGTTTGTTTGTTTGTTTGTTTGTTTGTTTATTTATTTATTTATTTATTTATTTATTT